ACTCACATGTCCGGTGAATCGGTTGAGAAATCTGACAGTGACCGGGACGATGCCGACAGTTTCTCCCCATTTATCTTCAAATCGGATCACAACTTTTTCTCCCTTCGCTCCATCATCAATGGCCACTTTGTTCGCCATACTCCCCAACAGGAAATGTCGCTGTTATTCTCTTTACTCTGACTAAATGACAAAGGCCAATGCTTGTATGGAGTGAAATAATTATGCAGTTTCTCAAATTCCCGTTATATAAAAAACTAGCGAGTTTGTTTGCCCTTCGGGCAAACAAACTCGCTATTGTCGCGCCTTCGGCGCTCTATTACTTTGGATAGTGATTCATTCATCCATTTTTTGCGAAATGAGAAACACGTATTTAAAGTACGTCCNTCTATTCATCATGTACTTCTTTGTCAAGTTTAAACTTTCTAGCACCCTCCGTTTTACTGGAGGAGAAAATTCAGGAAAATTTGCAAAATATGTGCCCTCGGGCGTTTTAACCGAAAATTGACATTTTTACCGAAATCAAACCTCAGTGAACTACATGCCCACAAAGTTTCAATATTATACGTTTGCCTTTTTTGCTGGTGAAAAATCATGTTTGCAAAAGCTGACGCACCCAAAAGCTAAGCCAGGAGAGGATGAACCATGAAAGCTGAATACTCTCTCAACTCAATAATTCCAAATAAATTATACATGTGCCATTTTCACCGTTCCATTTCTGTCCAATTCACCACGACAATTATGTGAAAACATCTCCCCTTGAAATTCATGCCCCCAGGGCATTTCATTCCAAAGTCTGAATTTTTCTGCACGCAGCATCCCGGTAATTATGTACCAAGTTTCATCTTTACACGCTAGCTCAATACACCATGACACAAATACCTGAAAACGTCAGCCCCCAAGAATATGCCCCCAGGGCATGGATCTAATGTGTTGCATTTTTCCTGAACTCATCGTTTCGTTAGGCACGTCCATGCCACGTTTTAGCTTTCCATTTCTCTCTGTTTTATTCAAGCAACGGGACATGGAAGGCAAGAGAAGAAAAAAAAAGGCATGGAATTGGTGGGAATCGAACATGGGCCTCCCGATTATCAGTCCGATGTGCTCCCACTACACCACAGAAACGGGATATCTCCAATGTATTCTTATCCATAATGATATATATTTTTAAAAAACTTCTCCCCCAAAAATATGTACCCCTAGGGCATGTACCTCCAAAGTCGGATTTTTTCTGAACTCTGCAACCCAAAAGGTACATGTGTACCAAGTTTCAGATTTCTAACCTTTCTGGAACATGGTTAGAATTAGCGTCAGTCAGTCAGTCAGTCAGTCAGTCAGTCAGTCAGTCACGATCGTCTATATATATTAGATATACCGAGAAAATGTATTTTTGCTCTAAACACTGGAACTAAGGATGGGGATCGATAAGCATAGTTCGATAGGTGTCCCGTTATACTCGTTTTATTCCAGTCATTTGGGGTTCATTGTTTCCCAGGGCTTTAATTACCTTCTAAAGTTTTACTCCTAAGTCTATTCATATTTGAAAACTTATAAAGCATTCATTATATCGGCCAAAGTAGATAATATACGAGCGAAAGTAAATATTGAAAGAAACATGTTTAATTCAAAATCTGAAGACGTTTCTGGAGGCGACAATCCTTCAACATTTCAAGTAAGCGTGACAGCGAATGGAAAGCGGGACATGGAGTGAATCCCAAAGAAGTGAGAATTTCCCATCTTTGACTTTCTGGCTTTGAGTTTGACCAGGACACATAATATTGTGATTCGTGTCATTTATGTGTATATGGGATTTCTAGGTGAAATCCCCTCCCCAATGCATTGAGCGTTTTGAAAATGTATGAAGATATTCTAGATTTTATCCTCCTCTCACCAATAAACCTCTAACAAATCTCTGCGTCTGGGCAATGTATTATTATCTTATTAGACTCCATACATTACAGGATTTACATTGGAAGGGAAACAAGAATGACATGCTGCATCGAATCCTTCAAGAAAGTATAAGAAAAATAAACATTTAGGTTGTGATGTCATTATCAAGGAATGGTCACATTATGATATCTCTAACCATCGAAATACATGAAGATGCATAGATCTTCAGGAATTGTTGAAAACCTAAAACTATTCCCCAACCACGCAATAGCCCCAGCAGACTGGCAATTCCATCACATCATGGCTCATCTATTCACATTCTGCAGGTTAATTGGGGTTCCACCAGAGGACTTCCCTCATCGCATGGATCAACAGGCCGTTTCGTGTTTACATCGTACCGAGCAGCGCAGAGGAGGTTATCGAGCCGTAATTGCTCTCCCAATCGATTAAGGTTAAACATTGATGATGCCATATGAACAAGGTAATGAATCCCGAGCCCGGGTTCCGCTTGCAGGCAGTTAGTACTCAGTCCCCCCACTTTTCGGACTGATATAAATGCTGTCAGCGGAGAGGTAACGGTCTCAGAAAGTCATCGCCTGTTTCATCGAAGCAGTGAAACTCGTTTGCTATCGATCTTTGTGCCGCCGACTTTCCTAGATGACTGAACCTTGGACGTTTCTCCTCCTCTTAATTTCAGGTACCCATGTATTACTTCACCCTCCATCCGTTTCAACTTTAATACATTAAAGCAATGTGCCACAAGACAGGGCTCGGGTCCATATTCCTACGAGGAAAAGTGAATGCCAAATTAAGATGTCATGTACGTCGAGTTCAGGGGAAGATTAACAAATACTCTACTTGATGTTTCAGGGAAAGAGTTGACGTAGACCCAATCTCCATCAGATTTCTCAACAAATTTGTCTGACAGTGAGTGACATTCAAAATCTGCGTCTCTTGGAGGGCAATTTAGGCAATCTTCTTACCAAGGAGTTCAGTCTCGCACATAAGTTACGGCTACACGTTATCACATTGGGTTTCTTCAGCTAGAGCAATAGTCACCTACTCTCCAGATACTTAGGAATGCATGAAATCCTCATTCCGAAAGCAATACCACTGCCTGGTCTTTGTCCTGTTCCACTGTCAAAATCTGTCACGCAGAATTTGTCATCAGAGAACCTGTTTTTCATTCATCTAAAGAAGCCGAAATGCTTTTTCCATGCCGCCTTTGTCACATTCACCCCGTGGTCGAGAAAGACCTCACTCGTTCGCAATTATCCGTCACGTTCCAAAAATTTTCAGCTCACTCGTAGCGTTCCATACACCTTTAACCCTTTCCGGTCCGTTTTATTCAGGTTGGCGAGGAAACAAGCATTTTCTACCCGGTTGGACAAATGACCGAAAGGGGTTAATCAATCTAACAAACGAGAACGCGATGAAGCTTGCATGTTTCAGTATGAACTGCGATGAGTTTGGCTCAACGTTTATTTCAGCTGTCCAAATCCGGTTAGAATCCGTGTAACTCGTATTGTGTTTTATTTTTCAAGTCCTTCACGCGATGCGAAAAAAGTTTATTTACTCTCCTATTCGTTCAACAACGAATGCATTATACATCGATACAACTTGCATGCATCGAATCATAACTTTTTGGGCGAACAAAGGATGAACGAAATATTGAGAGCATATCCAATCGCCTCAGTATATAACTTTTTTTCTCATTAGCACGCACCACGAGAACGTGATTGTATAACCACCCGATGGGATTTTTTTTTCCCTCTCGACAAACATGCTCGCAATGGTAGCCCTTACGCGCTTGACATCTCAGAGAACTTGATTTATTTTCCAAAATGACGCCACTCGCAGCTGAATTTATGATCATTGCATTAACAGAGTTCCATAGTTGAAAAACTAAATTTCGCTCTTGGGTGTTTCCCTTTTTCCTGCATCGTTTGTAGGTTGGTTTCGAATTTTGATCTTTGATACTGCAGAATTCCGCTCAAAGAAAACAGATCCTCACAGTCCATTGCTATTGAATTTTGATTGATTGAATTGAATTTACAAAGGGCAAATAAACACACTGTTATCGACATAGCAAAAAAAATTGGAATGAAACATGGAATGAAATATCATCCGCAAAAGTGTTATTTTCCGTTGCAGGTATGCTTAATCCACCAAATTGAAGGTGGACTAAGCTAATTACATGACTTATATTAAAGTCAATGCCGACTCCGCTGTAGAAGGTAGCATTTTGAGGATGGGGATATCGCATTGGGTAATTCATCAGGGGCAAGTCAAGGCACGTCCCACTTGGATTCAAGTACAATCTTTTGTAGGTTCCATGATTTTCTCACGAAAATACACATGAGCGCATGTGTTCAATATTCTTTTGAGCAAGGCCGCAATTATTCTAATTGCAGGGGAATCGATATATTTATGCGCTTTTACAGCACTACGCGATATGATTCTCGGTCTATTGTTTCATTGTCGTTATGTAAGAGACCATGCAAAAAAGCATGACTGCGCTCCCAATGACACAGTCTCATAATTAATGCATGCTCCAAGCACGAATGCAAATATTGGAACTGTTGAAGCACTAGGGTCTTTGCGCACGCAAATCACCTCATGTCATGTTGGGTTTCCTTTTTCTCGCGTTTGGTTTTTTCTTCCAATATTCGTCTGCATGCTGACTTCGTTCTCGTGGCTCTTTTCCTCTAGGAATTCCTTCGCTACCATGAAGTACTGCAGGGCCAGAAATTTCTGCACGCGCAGTTGCTTTTGCTCGGCAAGAATGTGACGTCGTGGAATAGCCAGAAGCGTCAGAAGAGCCGACGGAGTCGCTTAGAAGGGGTGACGTACACAGAGACCTCGGGTCCTGAGGTTCAGCCACGAACGTTCCCGAATTTACCAAGTTTCCATTCGCATATCACTGAACTCATATATGATTCATTCTCATTTCCAAATCGGTTTCTCTCTCGCGGGCATCAAGGTCACGTGCCCCACTCTACTTCATGGTGACTTCGGGGGCGCAAAGCCCAGGTTTGGCTTACACCATCGGTATTACATCAATACATGTATGACGTTTCGTGCTCAAAGGACCTTCGATCCTGAGAAAGCAGAAGCCTAGACGCGGAAGAAAAGACCCGACTACCCCTCGTGTCGATCTGTTGTCCCACCTGATGGAAGCTCGACACGCGACCGTCGAGCCGCTGACTCAGCCCTGCATTCTGCGTCAGTAAATGTGATTTTTCGAGTTACAGTCGCAAGTCGATGAAAATGAGATCTGGACATTCCTAAGTTTCCCGGTTTTCCATCGATACCCGATCCTCTCGGATCCGATGAATTGAAAAGGAAGCGTTCCTGTACAAACTACGGCATTGCTATTAGATAGATGACCATGATGACGTCTGAATAGATTAAACATGTATCAGAGTGCATGGCAACATTTTCATATTTAGTCCTAAAAGTTGTCTAGTTCTCTTTATTAATAAGGCAACCTATCGTGGGTTATCGATTTCATTCAGTTGCTCTCTACCAAGCCATTTCGACTTATGATCACGGGAGAAAGTCAAAGATGGGAAATTCTCACTTCTTTGGGATTCGCTCCATGTCCCGCTTTCAATTCACTGTCTCGCTTACTTGAAATGTTGAAGGATTGTCGCCTCCAGAAACTTCTTCAGTTTTTGGATTAAACATGTTTCTTTCAATATTTACTTTCGGTCGTATATTACCTACTTTGGCCGATATAATGAATGCTTTATGAGTTTTCAAATATGAATAGACTTAGGAGTAAAACTTTAGAAGGTAATTAAAACCCTGGGAAACAATGAACCCCAAATGGCTAAAACGAGTATAACGGGACACCTATTGAAATATGCTTATCGATCCCCATCCTTAGTTTCAGTGTTTAGAGCAAAAATAAATTTTCTCGTTATATTTTTTTATATAACGGGAATTTGAGAAACTGCATAATTATTTCACTCCCTACAAGAATTGGCCTTTGTCATTTAGGCAGAGGAAAGAGAATAACAGCGACATTTCCTGTTGGAGAGTATGGCGAACAAAGTGGCCATTGATGATGGAGCGAAGGGAGAAGAAGTTGTGATCCGATTTGAAGATGAAGGGGGAGAAACCGTCGGCATCGTCCCGGTCACTGTCAGATTTCTCAACCGATTCACCGGACATGTGAGTCTTCTTCAAGGACGTTTCATATAAATTGACTTTGACGAAAGGATATTGTGCGAAAACACCCCATATTGGTGATTCTCTAAAAAAAAAAGATCATAGGATTACTAATATTTGTATGTCCCCAATCAGGCACTGGGTCGTACCGCATTTCCAGAATCTTCTCTATTCAGACGACTCTTCTGGCTTCTGGTATTTCTCCTCGCTTTTGGCTACATGACCTATGGAATCATCGATATCATCAAATCATTTATCTCCAGCCCAAAAACCACTTCTACCCAGGTAAAACGATATTGACGTTTCTCTTTCGCAGCATTGCATTCAAGTGTCGAAAAGTAATATCACCAATGGGCCTCTCATTTGCATCCAGATTGAGCCACAAGAAACTCTTGCTTTCCCAGTGATCAACATCTGCGTCCAAAAGCATGAAACTGGCGATTTGCCTTTCGAGTTTTCTGGGATATTCGCCCCACTAGAAAAAATGCTTGTGTGGAGCGGTGATCTTCAGGAGGAGTTGATGCGACTATCAGAGACAAGTGACACAAACCAGAGAGGAAATACAACTTCAACTTCTCTCTCCGACGGTAATTACTCGACAGATGGGAACGAAACGCATGAGATCTGCAGCACACACGCAATTGCAGAGAAATGTACGTGGATGACTCACTTTTCTAATTTGGGAAACTGGATCTGCATTACTCATATACATGTGTCTCGTATACGTACAGCCACTTTGTTGAGCACCACTGAATGTAATTCCAATGGTTGAACTTATTTTAACTATACTTTGTGAATCGCATATTTTTGAGGAATGAGATGTTTTCCTGAAGGACAAGTATGCAATTTTTCTGTAGATGATGTGTATGAAACCAACCTACGCACTCTCGAAAATCAGCTCGGACAAAACAAGTATCTCTTGGACGGCTACTCGAAATACAGCGGCAAGGACTGCACTGATGATATTGTGAACTGCATCCTTCATTGCAGCTTTAATGGGTTGCCTTGCAATGACAGGTAAGCAAAATGTATTTTCTACCCGAAGAATTCCAGTCATTAACTAGTTATGGCTTTCAGATTGAAACGTGATTGTACGACACTAACTCCTTCTTTTTCTGAGCATTACAGATCCATGAATATGACTATGTACCTTAAAATATCCAAGTATTTTTTAACTTTCTCCAAAGAATGCCACTAAAGTCAAGTTGAAATAAATTAAGAGAATCATCAAACATTTGTATGGGGCAGTAACAGAGAAATTTTTACATTAAACTGGAATTCAATCAGGGACGTACTGGATGTACTCAATATATCCGTTGGCACTTGCAGTGATTTTGAATCGTACTTTCACTCGACGGTTGGACATTGCCTTACGTTCAACTACGGGAAAGACAAAAAGGTTCAGCGCCATGACTACCCATACGCCAGCGATGACATAATCAGCGACTCCAGGGTAAGGTAACTTCATCGATCATAGCTGGAAGAGTGAAATTAATGGGATTTTCTTCGTTCTGAAATCACGCAGCAAGGGCTTCGGCTCGTATTGGCTCCGCATTCCTCCCAACATCTGAACCAGCTGCCGTCAGTCGGAGGATACAGGCTCTTTGTTCGGGATCTTCAGGATTTCACTTTTTCTCTTGAGAAAGGATTCGATGCAGACTTGGGAATGGCTTCTTTTGCTGCCCTCAAGATGACAGAGTATGAAAGAATCCCCCTCGACCAAGGGGGTGATTGCAGCCCTGATTCCTACCTCTTCGAACGATTCGACCCAAATATCTTCAAAGTCACAAAGAATAGTATATATACCCAGAGTGTAAGGACTTCCTCTCATAATTCATTTCATCATCTAAAAGAGGATTCTTCATGGTGAGGTTAAATTTGTCTCTCTCCTTTGGAAAGTTTTGCCAGGAGTTGTGCGTTGCTGCTCAAATGTTGCGCGACCACAAAGACTCTCTAAGCTGCTTGGAAGACGCCCTGGATGATGTGATGTACATCGATTACTCGGAAATTGATTGCAATGAGAGTGAGAACATTGACCGTTGTTTCTTATGGACATATTGACCCAAACTAATCAACCCTCATACTCAGTTTCAATTTGAGATAATAAAAATGTCCTCAATATATTTTTCCCCACAATACGTTTACATCACTCATCTTTCTCTTTAATGCTTTTTGCAGCATTTTACTATGCTGTGCTGGACATGGAATCGAAGAAGAAACTGGTAAACAGTACATGTGGATGTCCTCCTGTTCGCTGCATGTGAGTCTCGATCAATATGCATCCTTCACCTTTGACGATACAAGGATGAAGTGCTTTTCGCTGGTCACTTAGAGACAGGAATTTGGAGATTACGTTTTCGACGACACAAATGGCTCGTCACGACGCCTTCCTCATGGATTTCGTCTCCTGGCTGAAACACGAAATAAAGAACACGAGTGAAGGCATTTCCCAAAATTCCACCTACTGCCATCGTCCGAAGTTTGCAGTCATTGTATATCTATCTGAGCATGCAAAATGGGGGCCATGCGTTTTTGGCCGATCTCGGAATTAAGCGTTTCTCGAAGCTAATTTCTTGGTTACTCAATATATTCCTCCCGTCATGGTACCAGGGAATAATCTGCTTAGGGATGTTTCTATTTAGGCTTTTCGCCGCATTTTTATCGATGTGTTAGCATGTGTAATATTGCCTAATTACAATGTACGTATTCAAAATAACCGTGAATCACATTCGAAATTCCTATGAGCTTCAGCTTAATACCTTCTGAAGTCGAAGGAAAGCGATTGTAGAGTTTCCTTCGCATCAAGACCTTTCCAACTAGCATTCTCTGAAACTTCGAGACATTTTAATACTGTATCAACATGGAACCATAACGATGTTTTGAAAGGAACTAATCGACAAGCAATGTAGCCCTGTTGGTGGAAATGACCCCCAATTTTCTTTTTGACAAATTAATGCAAGTACATCACATTATTTTTCCCCTAGTTGGCAGGTGGCTGTGATAGGCGTTCTCTACGAAAGTATGTCAAAGGAACTGACAACGGAGATTCTGTTATACCCGGTGAGTAAAAGGTTGCCGAAATTTTAGCCCTACTGAAAAATCGATTTTTAGAAAATCATGTCTGTGTATTATTCGAAAGTGGTCAAGCTTCATTGGGACTTTTGGAGGGCTTCTGGGTCTTTACACTGGGATGTCTTTCGTTTCGGTTCTGGAAATGCTGGAATGGATCTTCGACATCGTTGTGTACGGTTGGAGGAAACCCAAGCACGACAAGATGGGGCCAAAAAGACGAGCCATCCTCGATTGTGAGTTCAAACAAAATACATAATGGTACAAGAGTGCTAAAGATTCAATTTTGCGACAATCTGATGAATAAGGCATTTCCTTTTCTCACAGGTCCGGCAGGGAAACACACGGATATTGATGATTTGATGAGAAAGAAGAACCGTGGAAAAGCAGATTTTCCTTGGGGAGAACCTCCGGTCTACAACATGCCATCAGCGAGGGAAACAAGAAGCGCTGGATTCGATCTTGCATTTTCCGAGGCATTTTCTGACTTTCATTTCTAAAGCTCCCTCGTACTTGGCAAGGCATGCTTGTGACTCTTTGATGCTCACTCGCTTTCTCTCATTTATTTTCAAGTCATCTCGCCGCACTACTGAGGGATGGTAGCTCCCTTTCGGTTTCAAAATAGTTATTTCGCAAACGCTATTCGGGAATCGAAATAAATGGTGAGCTTCATCAAAGGAAATAAATAGAAATTCTTCATTTTTCCCTTGAACCGAATCGCTGACTTTTTTTTACGTTGCAACCATTCCAGTCATTGTAGAAAAGATCCAAAGAAACGTGTTGATGCGTATTTTATATAATATTGATATAAATCTTTTGTCCATTTTATATATATTTTACATAAACCATTGTCAATGTATCCAGAAGTGTCACCTCCGTGATATGCAAACGGAGACGTAAAATTTGTAGGAATTTTGTGTGAAATTGACATTCTCGTTTGCATCCAAAGCAACATATTCCCATCAATTATACGTAAAATTATTCCTCATTTTTTAACACCACCATGCAATTTTGATTGCGCACATTCTTTCTTGCAATCCGACTGAAAGTGACCTCTTTCCTTACGATGCGAAAGTTCTCTATGAAATTATCTTTCATTCATTTTGGTTGACCTTCCTGTCCCAATCCCATCCCTCAGAATTGTTGGATGTTATGCTATCATTCATGACCACCGCGACAAATGTATTGAGATCTGTGTCATTTGTTTGATGAATTTATCATACATTTTTTGTGCTAAGTTCATAGAGCATTTTCACTGTGTTTATCGTGTTTGGCATCATTGGGAGATGTACAAAATGACCTTTCAATAGAAGAGGAAATATTGTATTCTAATTTTCTTACCAGAACTGAAGTGTGCGAAATTGAAATAAACACGTTTACCGTCAGAGAGAGCCTCAAAATATATGATGGAAGAATGGCAATTCAAGAACACAGAATGAGACAGTTAAATCGAAAGCACATGCTGAAATGAGCTTTTATTACAATTGCCCCATTGTTACAATTGTCCTTTCTCACCTCAGCCTTGGCCTGGCCTGAAAACGTCAGACTTCCAGAAGCCTTAATGTTAGGGAGTCTCGTAGAGAGAAATATATTTCTAAATTTTTTTCGCAACTTAACCACTTAATATAATGTAGATTGCATTATCGCCTTCGTGTATTTTCTGTGAAGATCCCTATCGAAATAAATCTAAGCGGTGGGAACCAGAACGTTTGACTCGGGATCTGGACGGAGCAGCGGCCCGAGCTGTCCTGCTTCATACCGCCTAGTGTCAGCACATTTCAAGTCCCGATTATTCAGAATCTGTTGTCCCAAACATTCACCATTCGATTCCATTTCTGATATGCAATTGGGCAACGGGCCAAGAATACGCTATGGCCAGTGGCAAGCCGACCCATAGGGCTGGATGTAGCGTAACAGAATCCAGCCCCAACAGCCAACATATTACGTCACCTTCCCTGCATAGTGACTGGTGACATGGTGACCCAGGCGACGAAAGAGCCAGAATGGAATACTCGAAGCGGTTTCATCCTGCTCGTCTTGGTCACCCTCATCCCTGTAACATGGTTTGACATGAGCTACTATAGTCTTCTGCATCGTCGAGGTCCATCCTCGCGACGTGGACGCACGAAGCATTGAAGACCTCATGAAGCCCTCAATGGTCTTAAATTGAATGCTTGGCCCATATGTTTCTATTCTGATTTGCCGAGATATCTTTCCCCAGGAAAGTCTTCAATTTGTCCCGAAATCAAAATCATTGCAGCGTGAAAACTGTCAACGATTTGAAATAAAGTTGTAGGCAATTTTTGAAAAAAAAAGTAAGTTACCGTCTTGTTACCGTTACCGTCACCTTCTTGTAGACAGTAACATAATCGATGTTGAAAGTCCGCACGGACGCGTTCTAGATATCCGGCGTTCACTTCCTTGCAAGGAGTTTTAATTCAAACTTCAAGCTCATCTAGAGAGAGAGCGGTCGATTTCGATACAAGAACGTTTGGAGATGGCACCACAAGAAGAACTTGATAGTTAAATCAAGAGGTCGCCACTCGATGGCCTCTCGCACGCTCACCAACGATTGCAAATGATAACCCAAGGACGGACTGGTGATGATTATCATCGTAAATGAGGATGAATATCATAATCATATCGTATTGTTATGTGATGAAATATGCTTAAAATATTTATGGGAATTGCACGAAAAAGATACGAACATATGCCGTCATTTAGTGGACACTGAACATTACATTCTCCTCTGTTCCCTCACTTTTGCCACACCCTGTATTATTCACACGAGATACAAAGTCCTTCTCTCCTCCTCCCCTCTCTGCTCCTCTTCTACACAAAGGAAAAGAGCTCTACTTCCGAGGCACTCGAGTTCTCTTGTCTATTCATTCTGGTGATGACGCTTCTTCGAATGGCTCGATGCTGGCCAAGTTCCAATGTTCTTCGAAAAATGTTCTCTTTCATTGGCACATGCATTCATGCGTTCCTTATCCTTCTTGAGGGAGCTTCTCGTTGCATTAATAAGAAGGCAGGCCGCGAAAACGCTTTCTTTTCCTGGCGCGCGGATATACCAGCCGATATTATGGTCAGGGGTCTCATTACTCCAGCGTTGCCATGGGTCATACATCACTGTGGCCCATGCGATTACCGATCCCAATGTCCCAAGCTGGTCGTTAGAAGCGAATGGATATGACGATAATGTTCTTTCGCTCTGAAAATGTTCACGTCGGTAAAGGTCCACTAACAACGGTCTATTCCGTCCTAGGCGAACTTTTGCATGTCTATCCTCTTTTGAAATAGCATTTTGTACAACAGTTTCAGTACATTTTCCGGTGTGGCAAAATACTTATTCGGCAAAATACGTTCTTTTTTCATATTTTGTAAGGTGACAGCAGAAACTGCGTACACTCATCTCAAGTACTCAGACGTACATCTAAAATTTAAAATTCTTGAGTCGTTATAAGTCGAGATGACGATTGAGGCATATTTCCCCTAATAAGTCTATTCCTCATTCGTGCCAACACAATGGATGCGATCGTGCAGTCACATGCAACGACGAGGTTGCAAAAAAGAGAAAAGAATAAAACAATCCCCTGCCTTGCACGAGAGAGGTAACTAAAGGAAAGCATTAGTCAGCAGGCCATGAGCGTGGTTTCCCCACTTTCGAGACTCGTACATCTGCGATCGTTTAAGGCGGGCAATACGTGGGGAATCTTCGGTCTCGATGTCGGAAATCGCTTCTTGGTCGACTTCGCATCCTGCGTGGAATTAATCAGCAAGCGCTTCGGCAACCTCCGAATATTTCCTTTTCTTCAATAATGCGAGCATGAATCGAAAATCGAGTTTCTCGCGGAAGGCATGGAATCATAAATATTGGACCCGATGAACGTCATCGAGCAATACTTTTTATTATAATTTTTTTTTTTAATTTTGTTGGAATGATGATGCTTCCATGACTCACACAACCACTACGAGGGAGACCCACGCAATTACTTTCATGTCAGTAAATTTAATTCAATTCTGGCTCCGGAAGTATTTGAAATTAGGAAGGGAGCAGACAATAATCAAATTATCAAAAATCATCTAAACAAGAACGAATGCGAAATATATATATATATATATAAAATTCGTCTCCAACGTGAATCATCCTCTGGTCGGTGGAAAGGAAATCCTTATGGTAATAATGGAACTGAAAAAATGTTAATACCATCGCGTTCAAGTACATCCCACCGAAAATTCTTCCGATTTTCGTTTACATTGCTTCCTGTTGTAAATGCGGTTCTGCAGGGTTATAATTCTGGAACGAATATTGGGAACGTTGAATGAAGATGGCATGACCTGAGTCCTCCGTTGGGATTCTCTCAATCCTAGCAAGACGAGTTTGGATATCCTGCAGGGGGTAGATGCCTGCAGATGCCTTGTAGATGCCTGGAAGGGCATCTACAAGGGCGACGTTTGCTGAAACCGGTTCCGCGAATTTTCCTACTTTTGAGTCTTCGCCCGGTGAAATATTGCACCTTCCGATGGAAATTGGCCTGCATCGTTGAGTGAACTCTCCTTTCAGAATGTTGATCCGGTAAATGAAAATACTGAATTCATGATCGACGGGATAATGAGGTAAATGAGGACAGATTCGTTGCCCTCGCAATAAAGGCCCTACTAGGGCTAGCTCCTTGGACGCTGTCGTAAAACAGGTCATATCGACCAGGTGGGGGGGAAGAAGGAAAGCAGGTGTGATTGGCAGCCAGGACGATAATGAGAGGCAGGTAGGGGAACCCGTTTATGGTCATGCGAGATTGCTGTTTCGTCCTGGTGATATTGGCCTTCACCGATTGATCAACCGATGGGGCAATCGAACTCATTTGCGATCGATAGAGAAAATGTGGTCTCAGAAAGGTTGGCCTCATTGTGCAAATCGGTCTTGGACTCACCTCGTATCGTGTGTGTTACCTCGAAGATAACTGTGACTGCCCTGCTGAAAAAAACCTCACTACTAACTCATGAGGTCTCACGACCTTCTCATGAGGTCTCACGACCTTCTCATGAGAATTGTGCGGTTCCTCATGAGGCTTCGAAACGTCCTCATGAGACCTCTTGTTCGAAAACCTCATGGGGATCTCTTGAGGTTTCTTCTGCGGTGCACAACCGACGCGAGATGGCGACTGTATAGCCGCTCCGATGGGATGAATGTCCTGATCCCATTGGAACATATCTCATGTACTCACCAAGTTGTATCAATTTTTATTTCTATATTGAACATGATCAAAGATGTAAACTTCCGACCTTTTGCGTTATCTTCTAACCAATAGGTCGTAGACCGTCGGAAACACTACGGTCGGCCCCGAATTACAAAACAGAAATTAAAGGATTTACTTAAAAGTAATAATTTTTTTTTAAATTGTTCCAGAGTGCACTATTTTCATTATCACCGCGCTAGCACGAAATACTACGATGCGACTTTGGCCGGGTTTTGCCTTTGCCTGACGGTCACAAACGTTCGGGAACTGGGGATGGCTCGAACCACCTTACCTATGTCGAACACCTCTTCGCCCAAATGGGCCGCACTGGCCCACAATAGATCTTCCATGGGCCGCATGACTTAGCGATGAAAAGATGGGGTTATGTCTCTCTCACCATTCTTTTTTTTTTCCAACGTTTGGTTTCGTAATTTTGGTGGGAATGATTCTTTTCGCCAACCTTTTCCTCACGTAGACTCTATCACAATTCGTGACATGCAGAATCTTTCATTAAATGTAGAGGCTCACGTTGACCTTAAACACGTCTAAAAGAAATAAAACTGCTCGAAAAGAGACGAAACACGCGAGGGAACCGTAGAAAAGGCACAGACAAAAAGCACTGGATTCTTGGCGTTCATTCGGTCGAGTTACTTCGTTGTTGACGTTCGCGACGTTCGTTCTTCGTCCTGGGAGATTTCGATGAGACACTTACAGCAGATGCAAAAAACGCAGGAGACCGCGCCTGTGGTCTCGAGAGGGAGGAACTGTCACCCGTAGTTGGGAAACGAAGCGAACTGTGGAATTCGGAAGAAACGAGGACGGGCACCGCCTCTCCCCTCGCACACGAGAGAAAAAATCGCGAGAGTCCCTGGAACGTGGAGAGGTCCTGTTCTCGCCTCCTCGTTCACCTCGTATCCGAGGAGCACGGAGGATCTGCCTCGAATGAAATCGAGAGGACAAAGATGCGAGCATCTCCGAGGATCGTCGCAAGGAGACGAAGGGCCTCCCGCCTTCGAGGACTTTCTCGCCTCGTGCATCGAGGTCCAAGCACGACGGAGTCGTGTTTGGACCTCGATGGATCTTGGACTTTTTTTTTTACTCACCCGGTATTTCTTAAAATGCTCTGAATATTTGTCTACTCTCATCACCACAACACTTTCGTGGCAAAAAAAAACGCGTAACCACAGAAATTCCTTTCTAAAAATAACGCATAGGAATGGATGATGAAATCGGTTGGAGTTTCAAGGACATACCATGACGAAAGTGATGACTCGCCAAATCCGCTTATGCAAAGAGCACATGCGAGTAATGCTAAAGAACGTAAAGAAACGACCTCGACGGTGTTCGTGCTTCAAATGCGTAATACTAGCTGCGAATGGTGTCTCGGAACATCCGACATAGACTTAGATAGATATATCTATCCGACATAGATTTATAGTTTTTAGAGAATCGATGGAAATTTTCGAGAAATGCTCGCGAGAAGGAAGAAGACGACTTGAAAGAAGTCACTTCCTTTTCATCTGCTCTCGAATTACTTCTTTTTTTTTATCGCCTCGAAGACAGAATATTGGTGCAAATGTCATCAAAATCGGAGAGAATCATGTTTTGTCGTGTGCTGATCCGACGCGGAATGACTCGGTAGTAAGATTCCCACAAGGAAAATTCATTTTTGTCATATTGGAATGCCGAAACGCGTTCGAAGCGATCGAGAAAGAATAAATGGAACTTCGATTGCAGTAATATCCGCTGCCTAACCTCGATGCAACTGAGGAGAGTGACGGAAGCATTTCAGGAAAAGACACGGAGTGGAATTGACGAGGAAATGGCCTAGATATATACAGGGTGGCCGAGATATATACAGGGTGGCCGAGATATATACAGGGTGGCCGAAAAGTCACCGTACCCCCATCTACCTATTCATAAATTTTCATATATTTCATCAATAGAGATCTAAAAATACCCATGTGCACATCCAACATGCCCGCTGAACAGAGCGGTGCGTGAGCCTGGCGCGAAACGGCGCATGCGCGACGGACTAGGCGACTTCTGCGACAGCTCAGCAGAATTCAGTTTTGGCGGTAACAATGGCGGACACCAGTAGCTACACCATTGAGGAGCGCTTAGTGGCGAGTGTGTGGGTGCATGAAAGACAGCACACCGGACAGGTGATGGCAGCGTTCTAGGCACGATTTGGAAAGCCACCTCTGTGTAAAGCAACATTATTAGCATTGGAAACACGAGCGATTTCCCTCGGCAGTGTGAAGGACATCCCGCGCAGCGGTCGGCCGATAACCTGAGTGGACACGTGTGCCACTGTTCCTGCCCCATTGCACATTCACCACCGATGTCGAGACGGACCTGGTCATCACCTGGTCCACCACCTGTCCGGTGTGTTGTCTTTCATGCACCCACACACTCGCCACTAAGCGCTCCTCAATGGTGTAGCTACTGGTGTCCGCCATGGTTAAAGGCCAAATCTGAATTCTGCTGAGCTGTCACAGAAGTCGCCTACCCGGTCGCGCATGCGCAGTTTCGCGCCAGGCCCACGCACCGCTGTGTTGAGCGGTCATGTGAGATTTGCACACGGATATTTTTAGATCTCTATTCAGGAAATATATGAAAATATATGAAAAGGTAGATAGGGGTACGGTGACTTTTCGGCCACCCTGTACAGGGTGTCCCAGAAACCCCGCCCCAAGTTTTGTACATTATAATGTCTTCCTTTTCTTCTGACGGAAATGAGTTTTGTATCATTCGAAAGCCTAGACCTTTCTTAACAAATGCTGTTTGTTCTTTTTTTTTTAACCTGACGGTTTGTGATTACTGGTTGTGGGGTTTCTTGAAGGAGAAGGTGTATGCTACAAAACCCCTAACATCCCTCCCCTCATCAGCGCCATTCCCATTAGACATGTGCCAGAGAGCAGTGGATGACTTTCCCGGAGATGCCGTATGCGTTATGATAAGAGTGGGAACCGATTTCATTGGCAAAAATGTTGAATCCCTGTATCCCAGAAACCCCGCCCCCAGTTTGGACGGAGACTAAGGCTAAGTGAATGGCGCTGATGGTATAGAATGGGAAAATCTCATAAAATGTTTATTTTGATGAATAGCGAAGAGGACAGAAGATACCCGAGTGAGCGAGTGAAAGAAGGCAGCAGCCGTGACAGCGATGCATCCTCTCCCCCGGCCGCCGATGCACTCCCATCCCCCATGGTCGTGCAGCCCGACGGGAGGGGTCACGATCGTGGGCTTCTCGCCGAACACGAGGGAAGAAGGACGCGGCCGGGTGTTGAAGGTCCCCGGCTCCACCCGAAGCTCAAAGGGGGACTCGTGGAACAGGACGTGACGAAGGAGGTGGGGGAAGCCCACAGCGTGACATCCCTCGAGAATCCTCACATCTGTTCCAAGGGGAATGTGGGATCCCTTTTACCACGAAGCAGAAATATCGACTAAATGCACTCATTGCTTCGGTAAAATTTTATTTAAAATTTTTATTCACATCACCATCGGATCTCGGAATGAAAGCCTCCTTTTATTCCTTTATCCATGAATGCGGGCCTTAAGATGCAAGTCATTGAGTCTCTCTCGTCTTATTTTTCGTAAGGACACAAGTCATCCGCGGATAACATCGGCATCCCGTTTAACCCTTAAGCATCGGTTGCCGCATATGCACCTCAGCCTATGTTAGCGCGGTTGACGTATATTTACGCGAGTTTGATTTAATCCGTCGCGAATAAGGGATTTCCCCGAAATTTTATCTGGAGGTTTCTGGCACCTCTTGCATTCCCCCGCTCAAAGGGTACCTTCATCAGAGGCGTGGTTCAATGGGTTGTAAAGATGTCTAAGCGAGCGCATGATTCAGCGAACCCTAATGAATTCCAATGAGGTCCAAACACGACGGACATGATCTACCGACGGATCTTTTGCCGATCTTTCGCCCGAAACACTCCTTTCCTGACTCTCTAAGAAGGTATTTTCGGCGAAAGCATCATTTCCCTTTCATCTCTCTCGGAGAGACATGTATGCATCGAAACCTGCCAGCCTTCGAAGCGGTCCGCAATTCTTTTGAGTTAGGGGCCATGCACACCGACTGCGTTGCGACCATCGCGGTTGCATCGGATTGGAGATGCGTGGGGCCTTCGCAGTCGGTCGTAGCACGCTTCGCGACGGAATCGGACGAGTCATTTCCTCTTGCGTCCAAGCAGTGGGTCCTGCTAAGTATCTATTCACTGCAAGTTATGGATTTCTTTGATACTTGACTCGGGGGCTCTTTTGGTGGAATGACCGCGGCGGTAGATGATGCCAATCATCACCATTGAATCTCCACGAACGAGATATATCTACCGTAGATGAATGAGATGATCGTGGTTCGGCTCCGGCTCCGTAATGTGTAAACTTCCGACCTTTAGCCTTATCTTCTAACCAATAGGTCGTAGACCGTCGGAAACACTCTACTGTCGGCCCCGAATTACAGAAACAGATAGTAAAGGAGTTACTTCATAGTAACAAAAAATAAAATAAAAATTGTCCCAGAGTACACTATTTTTATTATCACGGCGCTAGCGCGAAATATTATACGACTTTGACCGGGTTTTGCCATAGACGGTCACAAATGTTTGGGAACTGGGGATGGCTCGAACCACCTTACCTATGTCGAACACCTATTCGCCCAAATGGGCCGTAGTGGCCCCCAAGTGATCTTCCATGGGCCGCATGACTCAACGATGAAAAGACGGGATTATATCTCTCTCACCATTCATTTTTTTTAATTTTTCAAACGTTCGGTTTCGTAGTTTTGGCGGGAATGATTCTTTTCGCTAACCTTTTCCTCACGTAGACTATCACTATTCGTGGCATACAAAATCTTTCAGTAAATGTAGAAGCTCACGTTGGTCTTAAACACGTCTAAAAGGAAAACCGCTCGAAAGGAGACGAAACACGCGTGGGAACCTTAGAAAAGGCACAGACAAAAAGCACTGGATTCTTGGCGTCCATTCGGTCGAGTTGCTTCGTTGTTGACGTTCGCAGTCGTCCTGGGAGATTTCGATGAGACACTTGCAGCAGATGCAAAAAACGCAGGAGACTGCGCCTGTGGTTTCGAGAGGGAGGAACTATCACCCACGGTTGGGAAACGAAGCGAACTGTGGAATTCGGAAGAAACGAGGATGGGCACCGCCTCTCCCCTCGCACACGAGAGAAAAACTTGCGAGCATCTCCGAGGTTCGTCGCAAAGAGACGAAGGGTCTCCCGCCTTCGAGGACTTTCTCGCCTCGTGCATCGAGGTCCAAACACGACGGAGTCCCCTCGCTGCAAAACGAATGGGTACCCCGGGAACGCCTTCCGTCTCCATCACTCCACGCACTCCATCCCGCTTGCCTTCAACACACGAACGAAGGGAAGTTCCTGTTGCCTCTCCCATCCTCTTCCTTCGTCCAAGTTAAGCACCTCCGTGGAGAGAACTTCTACAATCCATTCCCCCACTTTTTCGTGTCTCCCGCCGACGACTTGGAGTCGCCCTGCGCCGTCTCCCATCATCCCATGGAGATGTCTGTTGAATCGTAACGATGGAAGCGGGTCCCAGGGTCCTTCTCCGTTCGCCCGACACCTCCACGCTTCCCCCAGAGATTCCTCGTCTCTGAATCCCCCCGAGATGTATACGTGACCGTCGAGAAGGGCGGCTGCGTGATCTTGAACCGGAAGTGGGATGTCTCGGGGAAAGGGGGACCACTGCCCCTGTCGCGTGTCCAAACGCTCGCAGCTGGAGTGAACTGCATCCTTCTCGGGGTCCCTTCCCCCCAAGATGAGGATGTTGTGCGGGTCCCACATCACCAAAGCTGCCTTCTCTCTCCCTCTGATCGTGTCCGGGAGAGGCATCCATTCGCCACTGCGGAGATCCAGTCGCAGCCCCGAACGGGGATTTCTCTTCCCTCCCACGAGAAAGAGGGAGTCCCCGATCCCCACCCCCGTCGTCCCTTCGATGGTAAAAGAAAAAGTAGCGGGGACGAGGAGGTCGTGATTCCATCCGTGAGGAGCCTCACGGAGATCCTTCCCGTCCAGATGCAGAATCCGGATGCTCCTCCCCGTCCCGTGGATCAGCTTGGAGGAGTGGGCGAGAAACACGTCCAAGGTAGAATATCCTTCCTGGACCCAGAGGATTCTCTGGTTCTTCAGGATTTCCCACACACCCCCTGGCCCGTCTAGGCCTCTCCCCATGGCGAATATCCTTTTTCCCCCTGCAAGAGAAAGATGATCCGAGTCGAGAAACCTTCTGGCTTGGGAGGAATGAAGTGGAAAAGGGGTAAGCACACGGTGGATTTTTTTTTCTTGGATATGCGCGCAGAAAAGTCGGGAGAGATCAGAATCGCATCGCTCCCGTTTCCGAACGGATCCTGACCGCTTTCTTTCCCGTGCGTTCCGCGAAAGATTCCTCGGAATTCCTCGTTCGTTCTGCTCGCCCATCTTAGACTCGATTTCCCCGCGAGATCGACGTTCTATCACCGAAAGCCTTTCCCTGAGAACCCGAAAGAGCCGGGATTCCGATCCTTTCCTCGTTCGAAAGGACGCGGAGGGAATTTCGCTACCATCGGGGAGGGACGGAATCGTCCCGTCCACTTTCACGACGCAGATTTCGGTTTCGTTTAGCCCGAGTGTATCCCCGTGTTTACCAGCTGGTTAACGAAACTAGGAATCCAATGAATCCATCAAAACCTGAGTTTTTGCCTGCGCAAAAACTCAAATGGAATGTTGGAATCCGGAGTCTTGACTCTACGGGGGGGGGGGAACTCTCATACGTCATTAAAAATTTAGCCATGAGATTCTTTCAGCCATTTGACATGGACTTGGATTTCGTTTCCAGGAACATCCAATCCCTGTGATATGTCAGGAGGATCGCAGAAGGCTTGGAATTACCATCTAGAGTAGAAGTCCTTGCCTCTTCATTCATCGCAGCTCCCTCACGGATCTGCAGAAAGGAACACGAACACGATAAGGTGAATCGTTTCGTGTTATCGTGAGACGGCAAAAATATGGAAATGATGATAGTCATGGGGACGATACGAACAATGCGTATAAGACTCGACACGATACCTTTAAGAATATGCTTTTTTCGTTCAATGCTTTTCAGTCGTCACGTGAGAGGGAATCCAGGCGATCAGAATACGGCGAAGGGAGATGGATGAGGAGGCCTCTCCGTTTCATCTCCATCCACAGTCCCATCCGGCTCCTCGCAGCAGCAGAAGTCCCCCCGTCGACGACGAAGAGGGTGTGGATGGCTCGGGAGATCGCCTCCACCATCCATGCGTCCTCGACCCCCACGCACATCACGCCGGCATTCTCGCATCCTCGGTAGTCTTTCACGTAGTGGATGCTTGGCGCCTCTCTTCCCATCGATCGGAGAGCCGAGGTGAAGATTTCTCGCATCTCTTCGTCCGAGACCAACACCACGACATTTCCCTTTGTTTTTGGAATATAGAAGTGGACTTTTCGGACGTGTTCAGCACCACCATATATTTCTTAAAATCCTTTGATTATTTGTCTACTCTGATCGCCACGACACTTTCGTGGCAAAAAAAAAACTCCGTAACCGCAGAAATTACTCTCTAAAAGATGGCATGAGAATGGACGATGAAATCGGTTGTAGTTTCGCGGATATACCATGACGAGAGGGAGAGAGATGATCAGCCGAATCCGCTTACACAAGGAGCACATGCAAGTAATGCTAAAGAAAAAAGCCACCTCGACGGAGTTCGTGTTTGAAATGTGTCGTACTAGCGGGGAATGGTGTCTCGGAAAATCCAACATTGACCCAGAGTTATATATTTTGAGAAAGAGAGAAAATTTCGGGAAATGCTCGCGAGAAGGAAGAAGACAAACAGGAAGAATTCATTTCCTTTTCATCTTTTACTGAACGACTTCATTTTTTATTGACTACCTCGGTGCGATACCGAGACTAAATCTCAGAACTCGAATTTTCTCCTTCGTTTAGACCCGCGATGAGACACCCGCGGCCCTCGGGCCGCCGGCCGCGGGCCGCAAGTGACCCGCGAGGCCCAGCTGTGCGTCCCGCGTGGCTTGGCCAACTGAATTTTTTTAATTTCCTGTCATCTTCCACCCGGAGCAGAGCGCACGTGCGCTCAACAATTNGCCGCCGGCCGCGGGCCGCAAGTGACCCGCGAGGCCCAGCTGTGCGTCCCGCGTGGCTTGGCCAACTGAATTTTTTTAATTTCCTGTCATCTTCCACCCGGAGCAGAGCGCACGTGCGCTCAACAATTCTGTTGCCCACTGCCGAAGAAACGGAAGCAATAAATAAGACATTAAAGCGATATTTCCGCCACAGCTACAAATATCCCCTTAATTTATTCTTGGTAAGCGTATCACTGCTCTCTCAGTAAGCGGCTTGCTTAATATTTTGCTCAGTGAAAAGGTGTAAAATAATTCTAAACTAGTTCTTTGCATACCATTAGTATCTATTATAATACGTGGTTTACTAAGCCAGGTTTAGAATTATTTTGGTTCTCAGCAGGCATGAAGCCTGTAATTCCATTTCTTTAAAATACATGCGGCCCGCCGGGAACTTAAAAGGTTCACTTGCAGCCCGCAGTAAAAAAACGTTGCTCATCACTGATTTAGACCTTTAGCGATCCGATTTGGAGTTGTTCTGAACCCATTTTCGTCAAAAACGCGGCTGGGAAGTGAAAACGAATTCGGCGATTCCGAACTGGCCTCATCCGAGTTCAGTCGCAATGAGTTTCAACGTCGAATCAACGCGCTACTAAACATGACTCCGTCCGATTTTGATGAAATTTTCACCAATACTCTGCAGTATAGAGAAAGTGAGATGCTTGAAGTATTTTTGTCTTCAGTTCATTAGACCTGAAGATATGGGGTTATGAAAAAATTATTTCTTGTAACGAAGTGCTACCCCTATCTCTCAATATGGCGATAACTTGTCTTCTTGTTGAGCTAGAGACATGCTTTATATATCTTTTGAAAGATATGTTCCTGCCCTTTCCGATGATGTCATACTAATGGGTATAATTCAAAACATGACAGGTAGTCATAAAACAGATGCATTGAATTTTGACCTCTTTTAGCAAAAGTAAGGCATCTAGGATTTCCATTAAATTTGGTTCACATATTTAGCTATACATTAGGAATATGGATGCCGAAAATCATGTTGGGATACTAAAAACTTTTAGAGATTTGGACATTTCTTTCACTGAAAAGTGAAAAAAAAAATTTTTTTGTCAGTTAAGACATTGTGCATTGAGACTAAATATTCCTTGCAGGACTTGCTCAGGGTTCAAGGATTCTGATCATCACATATGTCAATTTCTCGAGAAGAGTCGGTCTAAATTAGTGCAAGGAAAAGGAAGTCTTGTCGTAAACCCTATCTATAAGTGGAACACCCGTATAATATAGAAAATTTTGAAATTCCTGCATGAAGTATGTTCTCGATCACGTTAATTAGAGGGAATAATGATTCTTTATATGACATCAAATAATTAATAACTTCCAATTAATTTAATTGATTTTGGGTTTTAATTTAAAAATAATAAACTGAGAATATGATTTGGTTTAAAGTTGCAATGTTCCCTTTCTTGCACATGGTAAAATATGCATAATTCATTCCCCTTCATAGCAATTCAATGGATTGAAGGCAGATAAATCTGGCGATGTTTGTTTCAACCAAACGTGTGTACCACATTGCATATCTTTAGCAAGGTTTCTTTGCTTTTTTATTATAATCCGAGGTAAAGATTGCATGAGCCTCTGCATGTGTTTTTATATATAAATATTTTATAGGTCATATTTCATGAGTCATTTTTCATGAGTTCGAAATTCAATGCATCTATTTTGTGAGTACGTGTCATGATTTGAGATTATACCCACAAGTATGACATCATCGGAAAGGGCAGGAACATACCTTTCAAAAGATACATAAAGCATGTCTCTAGCTCAACAAGAAGTTTTTGCCAAATTGAGATAAGGGTGCCACTTGGTTACAAGAAAGGCAATTTTTCATAATCCCTTATCCTCAGGTCTAATCAACCTAAAATGAAAAAATACGTTAGGCATCTTCCTTTCCCTACGCTACAGAGTCTTGGAGCAAATTTAATCAAATCGGAAGGAGTCATGTGTGTCATAGTGTGTTTATCTGACGTGGAATGACTCAGATGTAAGGTTTCGACAAGGAAAAGTCATTTTTCGTGTTTCCAAGGAAACGTCTTCTCCGTAGCATGGTCTTGGTCTTGGAATGTAGAAATGCGTTTGAAGCGATCGAGAAAGAAAATAGGGATTTTTCCACTGCAGAATTATCAGCTGCCTGACCTCCATGCGTTTCAAGAGAGAAACGAAAGAAATTCAGGAAACAACATGGAGTGTGGCTTTCACGAGGAAGTGCAGGAGATTTATTTTTATCATCGAGGGAATTCCAGGTTGACGTAATTATAGTCTGAAACTTTGATGCTATAGAATGGAAAATTTTCATTAAATGTTTACTTCGATGAATAGCGAAGAGGACAGAAGATACCTGAGTGAGCGAGCGAAAGAAGGCAGCAGCCGTGACAGCGATGCATCCTCTCCCCCGGCCGCCGACGCACTCCCACCCCCCATGGTCGTGCAGCCCGACGGGAGGGGTCACGAGCGTGGGCTTCTCGCCGAACACGAGGGAAGAAGGACGAGGCCGGGTGTTGAGGGTCCCCGGCTCCACCCGAAGCTCGAAGGGGGACTCGTGGGACAGGACGTGACGGAGGAGGTGGGGGAAGCCCACAGCGTGGCATCCCTCGAGAATCCTCACATCTGTTCCAAGAGGAAAGGGGGATCCCTTTTACCACGAAACAGAAATATCGACTAAATGCACTCATTGCTTTGGTAAAATTGTTGTAAATATTTTGTTCACATCGCCATCGGGTCTCGGCCATCCTCGGATGACATCGGCATCCCGTTTAAGTACGAACACACCGTTGAAAGGTTTATAACGGTTTCTCTCGCATATCGGCGTCACTCGATCTGGAATGGATAACTAACCTCGCTACTAGCCCGATCCTTGGGTCGAGTCGGGGGAATCCAACCGAAGACATCCCAAAAGCGGGGGGAAAATCCGCCACAGCTTATTGTTAGAGAACAAGGCGTTCTTCAGATCTGAGGTTATGAAGTAATGTGAAAACCAATTTTCAATTATTTTCCCTTTCTTCAACCCCCCCCCCCCCATA